GCAAATTCTTCTGTTGGGGTTTAGTCCAATTCTGCATCCTTTCCTTCAAGGCTCAGGGGTCCAAGATTATCTTCTGTGTCTGTGTTAAATGGTTTCCCTTTTCTTTGTTGAAGAGGGTCTGTGCAATCCTTCTGCCTAGTCCACCATCTTGCCGGAACTCATCAACCTTTCTTAATTATTGCACATTTTCTATTTCCTGCCTGTGTCTTCTAGCCATTTCCAGCAGTTGACAAAATCAATACATGAGGAGCAAGTCAATTATTAGCAGAGTAACTCTTAGTTAAGCATTGAGTATGGACATGTGCTTATAGTGGTAGTAGCATTACTATGTATCATTATACAAGCATATTCTTTGCTAGTAAAACTGTATCTAAGTCAAATTTGGACTTACATACACATTTCTTGGTTGTTTTATGAAAAGAGCAAGTGCTGAACAATCTAAACATATTTGAGAGCTATGGATTTAACGTGTAAAATCTAGAAAGAATCATGCAAACAGAATTGTGGTGTTAAAACCTGTTGAATTTGAAAATTGGTTTAAATAAAAAAAACATAAGTAGAATGAAAAAGATATATACAGAGAGATTTTTTTTTATTTAAGGCTAAATATACTAATGTGGTTCCACATGTAAAATAGTCTTTCTTTGACCAAAAACACTTTTTTAGAGTGTGTACTGTATTTAAAAGCCACTGTTTTTTTCCTCAGAGCCTCTATCGCCAGGCCATGGAAGAAGCCAAGAAAGAAGGCTATGACTTGAGAAGTGATGCCATTCCCATTGTGGCTGCGAAGGCCTCCCGGGATATTGCCAGTGATGTAAGAGCTAATTAAGTCCTAATAATTGTTACCATCAGTCCAGCCATCTGCATAGGAAATCATATTATTAAAATATAGGTGGAAGCCACTTTAATCATTACCATCTTAACTCCATTCAATGCATAAGCAAAGAAATGGAGACTCTGAGATAGATGGTAAGTAGGCAACTTGCCCAAGATCCCAGCATCATAGTGGTAAAGCCTAGGAAGGAACACTGTTCCCTTAACTCCTGCCTTTTGGTCTTTACTTAACTAGAGTGAATGTCTTGACTAAAATCAGATGGATGCATGTTGGGCCCTGATAAAATCTCATGAGTTCAACTCAGGATAACACTCAAAGCAAAAAGGCTAGGGAGGAAACAGGCCTGCTGGAGTTCTTTTCCAATACTTCAAGAAGGACATGAAATACCAAAAATGTCTCTTTGCTGTGGAGTCCACAATTAGTATTTCTCTGGTGGTGTAGTGCCTAAGGCATTTGACTGCTAACCAGAAGGCTGGCGGTTCAAACCCACCAGCCACTCCTCAGAGGGAAGATTGGGCAATCTACTTCCACAGAGATATCCCCTCAGAAACCCAAGGAGAGGTCGCTATGAGTCGGAAACGACTCTACAGCAGTGAGTTTTTTTGGTTTTACCTTAAAAATGAAGACATCAGATTCCTGGACAACGTAACTATTAATTGGAGAGTGGCAAATTTGTCCAATTTAAAACTACCCTTCTCAGATGATTTGTGCATAGGAAATTATTTCTCAGAATGCCCTAGACAAAAAAAATTGTATGAGCCATTTAAACACATCCCTCAGGCATATTCTTAGATGAGTTCACCCACGTGATGGACTTCTGAAGCACTGTCATTGTTTTTCACATGACGGTAATTGGGCTCACTCTTTCAATGTTCACTTTTTAGCAATATATAATTCTCTAGTATAATATAAAGGACTCCTTGGGGAGTTATTCTGTGGTAATGTGCAAATCAGCAAAATATCCTTTTCCTCAGGGCTACGTGGGTAGCACTGCAGTAGCAAGTTTTATGAAACACCCTTTTTGTCTTAAGGATTTCATAGAAAGGTTTCACCATGGAAAGAAAAACAGGGAACGTCCCATGTGTTTCTTCTTTACTTACTGGATTCTCTCTTCTAGTACAAATACAAAGAAGCTTATCGTAAGCAGCTAGGCCACCACATTGGCGCTCGAGCCGTACATGATGACCCCAAGATAATGTGGTCCCTCCACATTGCAAAAGTGCAGAGTGACCGCGAGTATAAGAAGGAATTTGAGAAATACAAGACAAGGTACAGCAGCCCAGTGGACATGCTTGGTATTGTCTTGGCCAAGAAATGTCAGACCTTGGTTAGCGATGTGGACTACAAGCATCCCCTACATGAATGGACCTGTCTACCTGACCAGAACGACATCATTCATGCACGGAAAGCCTATGACCTCCAGAGTGACGTGAGTATCCCTGGGGCTGGTTCTGCATGTGAAACACAGAGCTGAAACACACCAGAGGATTCTGACTAGTGCCGATGGATTCTTTTATGTGTATATTTCAAGAAATCTATAATTGAATATTTGAGAAGAGTTTCCCATTGCAAACCCTATAATCCTTTAGAATTTGCTTTCTTCCCACAGAAGTTATATGTAAAAAAGGGAAGAAAAAGTAAATATCCTCAGTTATATACAGGTACATATGTTCCTACAGTCCCCAGGTGCTGCAAATAGTTAATGCGCTCTGCTGCTAACCAAAAGGTTGGTGAGTCAAGTCCACGCAAGGTGCCATGGAAGAAAGCCTGGCAGTCTGCTTCCAAATAATCAGCCATCAATCAGAGCATGACCTCTGGACACACATGGGGTCGTTAGGAGTTGGAGTCAACTCTATGGCAACTGATTTTTTTTAAAACTTATTTTCCTAGAACTTCATGTATCCTTTGTCTGAGTTAAAGGAAACTTAGTCTTCAAAAATATATCACTATAACTTTTTGTTTAGAGGGTGGAAAATGATTGTCTGTCAGTGGAAGAAGTATAGAGCGAGTGAGAAGAAAAGCAGTTGTTTTTGTTGTTGTTAGGTGTTGTCGAGTCAATTTTCGATCATAACTGCCCCATGTGACTGAGTAGATTGTCCTGTAGGGTTTTTTAGGCTGTGATCTTTATTAGAGTAGATTTCCAGGTCTTTCTCCTGCAGACAGGCTGGGTGGATTTGATTCTATTTAGCATATCCTATTGAAAAATCAAGGAGCCCTAATGACACAGTGGTTAAAGTGCTCAGCTGAGAACCAAAGGTTGGCAGTTCAAATCTACCAGCTATTCTGGGGGAGGAAGATGTGGTAGTCTGCTTCATAAAGATTTATGGTCTTAGAAACCCTATGGGGCAGTTCTTCTCTGTCCTGTAGGGTTGCTACGAGTTGGAATAGACTCAATGGAAGGGGTTTTGTTTTGTTTTTAATTTAGAAATCCGCCACTGAAAACCCTATGGAACACAGTACTCGTCTGTTACACATGGGGTTTCCAGGAGCCTGAGTTGACTTGGAATAACTGCCTTTACTAGTACTGAGAGTCAATAAAATGAGTAATATACTATCTTTATAATGCCACATTTCTTTCATACACTTGATATTTTGTCATTTAAAAGATCACAGCAAGAGTTTTTGTGGTGCACATGGGATTGGTCTAAGTGTGTGGTATTATTTAGAGCAATTACAGTACATTTTCCCAGATTAAAGAAGCTCTGCCCCTATGTAAAAGTTGTATAATATGCTCAAGGGCAGAGCCAAGTCTTCTACTTAAAAAAGAAAAAGAAATTTCGTCATTCTTAGTACAATCTGTACCAAAAAACGCTCAGGGCTCAATAATGTTTGTGAATGAGTGACTGAATGAATAAATGACTTTATTTATGCTGCAAGCATCATCTGCTCATAAATACTATCGAATTCTTCTAATATGATCCATTTTATGACTATGAGTGTGAGAAACTAATGAAAAAATATGTTTCTTACTTGTTGATTTGCAGAATTTGTATAAGTCAGACCTTGAATGGATGAAAGGCATTGGCTGGGTTCCAATTGGTTCCTTCGAAGTTCTTAAAGCCAAGAGAGCCACAGAAATACTGAGTGATAATATCTACCGTCAGCGTCCAGACAAATTGAAATTCACCAGTGTAACTGACTCTCTAGAGCAAGTGCTGGCAAAGAACAATGCTATAAACATGAGTAAGGTAAGTCGTTGGTCCTTACCATTAGATACAGACATTTTTAAGTGAAGAAAATAAAATTTCTGACATATTACTACATTTTAAAGATTGCTATAAATATATAAAACCTTTTAAAATTATTTTTCCATTATAATACCACAGTTACTTAGTGATACTTCAAATCATTAAATTGTTGGTAAAAATACTACATACTATAATTATTTCATAATTCTTTCCTAGATAGATGTTAAATACTACAACTCAATTATGCTTTTTCAAATCTGTTAAATAATTCTAATAGGAAAGAGTAAATGACTTTGTTGTTGTTGTTGTTATGTGCCATCGAGTCAGCCCCGACTCATAGTGACCCCTCCTTGGGTTTCCGAGGCAGTATCACTACAGAAGTAGATTGCCCCATCTTCCTTCTGAGGAGTGGCTGGTGGGTTTGAACCACCAGCCTTCTGGTTAGCAGTCAAGTGCCTTAGCCACTACACTACCAGAGCTCCCAATAATTACTTGGAAGTAATCATTTATTTCTATGCAAGATAGGAATTGATGCAGCTTTAATAATTTTATTTCTACTTTATATGAAGAAGAGATGCTGGCACATAATGAGATGAAAAATACCTGTGAACTACAAAATAATTTCTTCTTATACCTTTTCTCTTAGCGCTTATATACTGAAGCCTGGGACAATGACAAGAAAACAATTCATGTCATGCCTGATACACCAGAAATCATGCTAGCCAAACTCAACCGAATAAACTACAGTGATGTGAGTAAAGTATTGATCTTGAAAGAGTGGAAAAGCAAAAATGAACTACTATTTCTGTTTTCTTAGTGGAATGTATTGACTTATTTATTATATATACTCTAAACTAGCATTGTCCTTAAAAGAGATAGTTCCATTTAGGACTACACAGTTGGTCCAAAAAGTAGGTCAGTCATTTATAGACAAGAGTTTAGGGAGCTAAATGCTTAAAAAGAAATGTTCCAATAAACATTATACTCTCAAAGTCTTCTTGCTGTGGTCAATATGAATATCTGATCATTACTTCATTGATTCCAGAACTATTTTCTGAACCAGGTATTGTGCTAAAACCAAATGAGTCATCATGTCCTGTATTATTTTGATGCTTCAATATGTTCTGGTTACCACTTAATGTTATCTGTAAGCATTCCTTTAAGCATCTTTAGCAGGACTAACATTTTCCTAAGGATTGTTATTCCCAAAGCCCAGTCTATAGGTTGGTGGCAGTCTCTCCCGGTAGTCCAAAAAAAAAATGAGAAAAAACAAGGACAATGCATTTAGTTTTTCATAAAACCAAATATATTTTGTTTTTAAAGACTTACCTGTATTCTTCCTTCTTTAGTATTAAAAAACCACCCATTGCCATCGAGTCAATCTGACTTATAGGGACCCACATTGGATTTCCAAGGTGGTAAATCTGTAAGGAAGTAGATTGACCAGTCTTCCTTCTGAGGAGTGGCTGGTGGGTTTGAACCACCAGCCTTGTGGTTAGCAGTCAAATACTTCAGGCACTGCACACCACTGGATCTTCTTATTAGTATTTAGTATTAAAATAACCTTTTATATTATGATGGTGATAGTAAATAGTGGTTTTCTACATGTGCTTATTTGATAAAATAAACTGTTGGGAACCAAATGCTGATTTCTTCAAATTTTTTAAATTTACCAGTTGATCAAATCCCAAAGTTGAGCACCTGTGCTTTAAACACTATGGGCACCTATGAAAGAAAGTTATCTATAAATCCACCCTAACACCTGTCTTGGTGGATTTGTTTCTATAGTTTACTTGAGATGGAGAAAATTTAATAACAGACTATTTGTTTTTTTATGAAAGAACTAATGATTAATGACTCTCTTTTCTACAGAAACTCTACAAACTGGCTTTGGAGGAGGCCAAGAAGGAAGGCTATGACTTGCGTTTGGATGCCATTCCAATCCGGGCAGCCAAGGCTTCAAGAGATATTGCTAGTGATGTAAGTGAATGGCTTTGTTAGAGGCATTTCTTACACAAAGATGTTGACACTTGGCCACTTTTAGAGTTTTTCTTGCCAGTACTTTAGTCATCCCTATCAGTTTCAGTATCCTTTAGTCATTCCCATGTGTACAAAGTTGCAAGTAAAAGCAATGAATAGCACAAAATATTATATTAATTATCCCCATTAATCAGTCAGTCAAAGGTAAAGACATATCCTTCAAAAATAAGTGTTGTTATGGATTCTAAATGTGGGCTTATTTTTCTGAGCCTCAGAAACCTGAGTAGTAGTTGACTCAGATGTCAGTAAAATTGAAGAGATTAATACCATGTGTAAATCAGCCAATATAAATGTGAACTCTTTCCTTTTGCTTCTATTCATTTATTCTGGGATAGACTGGATGGCAGATACATTTTAGAGTTTTGTTTTATCCTTTGTAACCATTAGTGAGGTTCTACTACTAATATGTTCCCAACTGGCCACAAGAACAAATTATGAAGTAAGCAAAGCTCTTTCTCAGCATCCACTTGCCTCTTCTCTCTCATGCTTCTTGTCTCATGAGAAGCATGTCCAGAGGGCATCAATGCCCTAATTCTGTATCTGGCCTCTTTAGGATCCAAATCAAGACTTTACTTCTTCTAGAAGAGCGCCATTCCTTAGATATAAGGTGTTAAGCTCATAATAAAATGGACCAAAAATTCTTGAATTTTTAAAGAAGATAAAATCTTAAGCCCAAGGGATGACTCTCTCATACTCAAAGCTCAAAGACATTGACAGGCTAATAAGAAAGTGGCACTAAATTAAATATTTGTCTAAATGTAACACATATATAGCTCAACCAGGGAATACACTATACATTTTAATAACAAGGGATATATTCTAAAATATTCTTAATAGCATAACATTTTTAGAAAAAAAGAAGCCATGTCTTTGAGTTAAACAGATGCTCTGTTAGATTATACTTGATCGTTTCCCTTACGTAAGCAATAAAATGTAAACCAGTGCAGTTCAGTAGAAGGACAAAAATACTAGGAATTAGCAATTCTCCATTCACTCGTATCCTGGCTACCTACTTGTGATGTGACCTTAGGCCTCAAGTTCCTATTTTATAAAGTGGGCTTGATAAAATGATCTTTTCTTAGAATAATGGTGGAAAAATCAAAAGAAATGATACATGTGTTTGAAACTATGAAGTACTATATAAATACAATATTCTTATCATTAGCCTCATATTCTCTTTCCTTTTTTCAGTACAAGTACAAGCAAGAGTACCGCAAGCAGCTTGGCCACCACATAGGGGCCCGAAATATTCAGGATGACCCTAAGATGATGTGGTCCATCCACGTGGCCAAGATCCAGAGTGAGAGAGAATACAAGAAAGACTTTGAGAAGTGGAAGACCAAGTTCAGCAGCCCAGTGGACATGCTAGGGGTGGTTCTAGCCAAGAAGTGTCAGACCCTTGTAAGTGACATAGACTACAGGCATCCCCTACATGAATGGATCTGCCTGCCTGATCAGAATGATGTCATCCAGGCTCGGAAGGCCTATGACCTGCAGAGTGATGTAAGTAGGTTAAATGTTCTTCAGCCATGTATTTAAGGGTTTAAAATAAGGGTTCTCACCTTTTTTATGTGTCATGGAGCTTTTGGCAGTCTAGGGAAGCCTAAGGACCCCTTCTTAGGACAATGTTTTGAAATGCATAAGACAAAACAGATAAGACTTCAAAATAAATTAATCGTATTGAAATACAGTTATCAAAATATTAACAAAATAAATTTGTGATGGGTAATATATAAGCTTTTTTGATTAACACTTTTGGAAGAATGTCAAAGTAATGACATTATAAAAAATTTTTGCAAAAGAAGCCATGAAAACAGAAAGAGAAACATCCTCCTTCAACAAATTATTTAAATTCAAAAAAGAAAAATAAAAGGGGCATCAATGTCTTTTTCACTTGAATTCCAACACAACAAAGAGGACTGAGGGTAAAACAAATAGGGCAATAAGATAAGTATTCTTTGAGTTTGAAGCAGTGGTGTTACTATGATTGGTGTCACCCAGTGCAGTAACTCATGGATACTCCCTGCCCCCATGGACCTCCTCCCATACCAGACCATACAGAATCCTTAACTCACTGCCACTGAGTCAATTCTGACTCATAGCAACCCCTACTGGGTTTCTAAGGCTGTAAATCTTTACAGAAGTCGATTGCCTCATTTTCCACCTGCAGAGCAGTGAATGGATTTAGACCACCAACCCTCTGGTTAGCAGCCAAGTGCCTTACCCACTACGCCACCAGAGCTCCAGGATCCTTAGTAATGTTTATTACCATTTTAATCATAGAATAATATGTGATATAGTTGTAATTTACTTAAATGTAACATTTCTTTGGTTATATGAATACTAACAAGAAAATTGTTTTGTAAAATCTTCCTACATTGAATTACAACATTATTAGTAATGTTGAGTGGAAACCTTTTTTTTGTTTTGTTTTTGTTTTTCTCCTTCTTTCCCTTTAATTACTACTTTAATACCAAAAAAGTTATTGATACTTTTTACTACAATATTGTAGCTAAAACACAAGAAAAATTTGACAAAATCAGTGACTGTAAAAACAGTGGCAGCAAAAGAAACAACAGTGGGTGCTTATAACATGTACAGATGAAACCACGTCATTCCAAGAATCCTTGTAATTGGCTAATAATGACAGCTCTGACAGGAGCACATTGAAACATTCAAAACGTGAATTAGCATAGAGTTTTAGCTTTGTGGGTATATTGATACATGTAAGATGGACTTACAAAAAATATTTTTGTTGTTATAGCTAACTACAGGGATATTTCTATTAAAAATAAATTTCTGCTGAAACACTGCACACAAATTTTATAGATAGTCATTTTGGTGTCAAAATGACTCTGACAGTGTCATCCATTGCATTTGGCACCCCCCATACACACACTTCTAGTGACGCCATTGGTTAGATGCATGTCAATAGAATCACATGGAAAAGGTTGCTATTATTTAAACTTTCCCCAAGAAAAACATTAATTCAGCTTGTGGTCAGCTAGTCATATTCATCTTTTCTTTATATCACATAACTGGTTATGAAACTACTGTTCAATGAGATTAGGAACCAAATGAATTCAACCTGAATGTTAGTGCCTCACAGCAAGAATAAACACTTTGTTTTCAGAGGTAGGCTACAATTTCCCTAAGTAATTTAGTATTACTGAAAAGAAATATTAGCAGGATTTTATTGATCTTTAAAACAGCAAATATTGACTGCATTCAGACATTTGACTAACTATGCTAAACCAAAACAAAGCAACCCTGAGAGATCACCTAGAAAGTTCTACAAACGAAATTTGGAATTAGTTCATTTGCATATGTTAAAACAAGATCAGGTACCAAGCTGTCTAAGTAACTTCTAAAATATTTTATATCATTTCACTTTCAGGCTATTTACAAGGCTGATCTTGAATGGCTGAGAGGCATTGGATGGGTTCCTATTGGCTCAGTAGAGGTCGAGAAGGTAAAGAGAGCTGGAGAAATCCTGAGTGAGAGGAAGTATCGCCAGCCTGCAGTCCAGCTCAAATTCACGTCCATTACAGACACTCCAGAAATTGTCCTAGCAAAGAACAATGCCATGACAATGAGCAAGGTGAGACTCCAGCTGCTTTACATTACCCAAGTGACATCTTCCCTGGACTAGGCTGACAGAGTGGGAAATGCCCTGAGTGGTCCCCATAGAAGGAGATTTAATGGGCCTCATTCTCATGCCAGCCTTCAAAAGAGCATCTGCCGAGCTGGCCCTAAATGTTCTTCTTAACCTCACTGTCTCCTAACTCTCAGTGTGCACACAGAAGAGTAGCCTGGGATGATTTTCCTGAGTAAGGTACTCACCTTTCTGAGCAGTGACCTGCGGCCATCCCCATGTGCATTGCCTCTCCTATACATTCTCCCAGGCAGAACAGGCTCAGACCATTGAAATCTCTTGGACCACCCAGTAAGGAAAATACAGCCATTTAGCATTTCATTCTGATGTCAGAGAAATGCACAATTGCACAGTAATGTGAGCACACAGCTCAAATCAGTTGTTTGGGTTGCTCTTCCACCTTAGATTACTGAAAGCTATTTTTGAAAGCAAGCTGCTACTGCTACTTTTGGGTTTATCACACAGAGTAAATGATCATTTCTTTTCAGATTTCTCTCAATCTGTTTATTGATAATGGGCTAATTCTCTATTCAATAAACAGGTGCCTATTATACACATTTTAAAATTGAATTTAACTTAACTGAACTCTCACCATACCTACCAGAAAGTCTTCTAAATCTAACAAATATCAATGTGCTTTCCCCTGCCACACACACACTTTGAAGCACACTCAGGTGGTGAAATTGAGTGCTCAGGGCAGAGTATATAATTAATCTCAGATAGCAACCTCCAGAATGTGGAACATACATCCCTAGAAACTCCACGTTATGCCACACCCATCATCAACAATAATGATAGTAACAATAGGAAACACATAGAATTTTTGAGTGTCCACCATGAGTCAGAACCAATTCAACAGCACTTAACAGCATTATGACTCAGTCATTTTGTATACATTATGGTTTGATTAATCTTTCAAAAATAACCCACAAGGAGACCAGGTTTGCTGGTCCAATAGAGCCTGATGGAACCACTGAGACTATGGCCCCTAGCTGCCCTTCAGGTCTGCAATTGAACCCACACCTGTGGTTTCCAGCCAAAGTACAGGCATGTGAGTTGAACATTTACCTCAAGTAGACACACGCCCTGGAGAGAACAATCATGGGAGAAGGAAGGGCTGCTTATGCACAGGGAGATAGCTCAGGGGGCAGGAGAGTATGGAGGGATGGACACTGGGAAGAGGTAACTATGGGGAGGAAGTGGGAAGAGAGCTGTTGCATTGTGGTAAACTGTGGTCAATGACTGTGACAAAGTATATGTGAACTGCTGTATGGAAAGTGAATTTGCTCTGCAAATCTTCACCCAAATTACAATAAGTAATAAAAAAATAATAAATAAAATAAAAAATAAATATAAAAAAAGTTAAAAAAAAATAACCCACAAGAGAAAAATCAACATCCTCCTCTAGAGATGAAGGATATGAGGAGTAAGTACCTTTCTCAAGATGACACTGCGTAGAGGGATGTATGGAAACAGTCTGTGACCACCATGATAACATTAGAAAAAGGGAGAACACTGAACTGTGCACATAGGAGATAGACAACAGATGCTGATACAAGCCAGTGTGCCCAAAATACAGCATTACCATTAACACCAAACACCAATCTACAGATAATCACATAAACATCTGATGATCAGTTCACTCTCAGATGATCAGTGAACAGTGAACAGGAGTATACTCTAGACCAAGGATAGATTCAGCACAGGCTAATCTTGCAGATACCAGTGATACAAAATATCTGCAATCCTTACAGAAACAATAGAAGACAGACACAGAGTAATCCCTCACAGACAGCAAGACACTGTGGTAGAGAGATCCAATGGATCTACTGTCTCAGGACCATAGTACTGGGGGACACCAGACTCAAAAGAAAAAAAACACAAAAGATTACATTGCTTAGAAATACTGGAGTGGGTTTGAATTTGGGGGTTGATTCTGAAGTCTAGGGATTTATACTCTAACATAGTTATGTAACAGAGCTTCTTTCTTGGAAGTCTTTTTTGCTTTAAACTAGAAATTCACTGGGTGAAAATAATTAATAATCAAGATTGTTGCATTGCTTCATATTAGCTATGAAACTGCTATATGGTTTTTTAAATACTGCCTTGTTTTACTTTCACTACTACACTTTTGCTTTCCTCACCTTCCAATAGCCTAGAAAAGAGCTCTTTTACAGTGAAATGTAAACTTTTGTATTGGTTATATCTGATGATGACTAATATTATTGGCTTTAACAAAGGGTTTTCCTTGTTTTGCAGCACTTATATACAGAAGCCTGGGATGCTGACAAAACCTCTATCCATGTGATGCCAGACACTCCTGAAATCATACTGGCCAAGAGCAATTCTGCCAATATCAGCCAAGTAAGAGATTTCTTCATTTTGTTCAACCCTTTGTAGGAGCAACTCAAATACTTTTTCTACCTTAATGATCTCCTTTTGGATATTGGCTTATTTAGTTCTCTACAAGATTTTTATTTTCTGTTGTGTGTTATCGTCTGCCTAGAAACTTTACACTAAGGGATGGGATGAATCAAAGATGAAGGACTATGATCTAAAAGCTGATGCTATTCCCATCAAAAGTGCCAAGGCCTCAAGGGACATTGCCAGTGATGTGAGTATCTTCCTCTTGATCTCCACATGCTAAACAAGCCTTACTATTGCTGATAGACCACACTTGGTAATTCCTTCCCCATGTTTTCCTCCAGTCCTACTTTCTATCTTCCCAGCCCTTTTGCTTTGTTGTCACAGAGAAGAAAAATCCGTTTTGCAATTGCAGTTAGAGTTGCTGGCAGGAATGAGTTTCACCAGTGAAGATATATGGTTGTACCACACTTATTTTTATTATAGTATTAAATGCCAGTTATAAATCACTAGAGATGTCAAAATGTTTGTGATATGAAATTCTTGTCCATGTGTTTCTGGGATTTCATGTTGTCTGTGATTGTCAGTATATGTATGACCCTAAAACCAGTTTCTAAAACTGAATTTCTGCCATTTTAGTACAAATACAAAGAAGCATATGTGAAACAGAAAGGCCACCACATAGGAGCCCGGAGCATTGAAGATGACCCTAAGATTATGTGTGCCATACATGCAGGGAAGATTCAAAGTGAAAGGGAGTACAAGAAGGATTTCCAGAAGTGGAAGACCAAGTTCAGTAGCCCAGTGGACATGTTAGGCATCTTGCTAGCCAAGAAGTGTCAAACTCTGGTCAGTGACATTGACTATCGCAATTACCTGCACAACTGGACATGCCTACCTGATCAAAATGACATTATTCAAGCAAGGAAGGCCTATGAACTTCAAAGTGATGTATGTAACAGTTCAGTTTTTGAACCTTAGAAAGGGTGGAATGGGAGGACTTGGATTTGTTCATTGTCCAGTTGGTGCCTCCGTGGGTAGTTCTATAGGCTGTGCACTCCATAACCCCATGGAGTATCATTCATATTAAATATAATATGTGTATTGTAAATAGTATAATGTAAAACCCATATGTATATTGTAATAGTATAATGTAAAACCCATATGTGGGGATGTGTCATGGAAGGCAAAAAAGAGACGAAGAACCTTGCTTTGGGCATGTCTTTTATTCCAGACCTATATTCCAGACTATTTTCTTCATGTTATTTGTATCTGGAAAGGTAAATATGTTTCAGACAAACATAAAGCCTCTAATTTCTTTTAAAAAACAACTGCCACTATTGTACTAGATCCAAAACACTTAACAGAAGTTCCTTGAATTAATAACTAAATTAAAATGGAATGAGATTCAACAAAGGTTTTTTTTTTTAATCTTTCAATCATGTAATTTAAAAAAATATCAACTAATTATCATGGAATTCAATATTATTACCATGTTATTCATGGATATTATGAATAATTATGATTTTACAAATGACTTCAGTCATTATATTAAAAACCACAAATCATGTGAAATCTCAGGTCTTAATTGTTTTGGAACCACTATCTCCTCTGTTTATAAGCCCCTCAACCTCGTGTACTTTATTTTTTCCATCCAAGTGGTATGTCTAATATTTGGAACAAATTTTATGTCTCACCTCTTTGCAGAATGTGTATAAAGCAGACTTGGAGTGGCTGCGTGGCATTGGCTGGATGCCAGAAGGTTCGGTAGAAATGAAAAGAGTAAGGTGTGCTCAGAACCTCGTGAATGAAAGACTATATAGAATGCGACCAGAAGCCTTGAAATTCACTTGCATTGTTGACACTCCAGAAGTTGTCCTGGCAAAAGCCAATTCTTTGCAAATGAGTGAGGTAAAAACCATTTTACTACCAAACTTTCCTCTGTCTAGGCTGTTTTCAGAAGATGCCACCCAAACTGAGCCTCTTCAGAGAGGTATAGAGATAGAAGCAACATTAAGAATCTCTTGACTAGCTTACTGAAGGCACATGCAAAGTGGAAATCTCACAAATATCAATGAGCTTTTCCCTGCCACACACACACTTTGAAGCACTAAAATGAAAAATATCACTTTGTTGTAATTCATGGAAATAAGTATTTATTTAACTCCTATTGCTAGTTGCCTTCCATTCAATTCCACTCATGGTGACACCATGTATATTAAGTACTAAAACATGTTGCATAATGTTGTTGTTGTTATGTGCTGTCGAGTCGGACCCAACTCATAGCGACCCCTCCTTGGGTTTCCCAGGCGGTATTACTATGGAAGTGATACCCTTCTTCCTTCTGACAAGTGGTTGGTGGGTTTGAACCACCAGCCTTCTGGTTAGCAGTCAAGTGCCTTAGGCACTATGCTACCAGAGCTATTATGTAGCATAATGCTACATATTAAATAGTATAACATATATAAAAACACTTTTCTAGATTAAATAGTTGCTAAGGCTTATGTTTCAGATATCCATTCTCTATCGCTGTATTAAAATATCTTTCCTTTCTCTCAACAGAAACTGTATCAGGAAGCCTGGAATAAAGATAAGACAAATATCACCATCCCTTCGGACACACCCACCATGCTGCAGGCCCAAATCAATGCCATGCAAATCAGCAATGTAAGGAGCATAAATATGAAGTGTAAATGCCTTTATGGGACAATGTCTCTCAGTTTATGGAGATGTTATAATGGACAGGATAGATACTTTAAAAATATTATAGGTTAGGTACAAACAACAAAGATGAACCCTTTTGCACATACAGTACTGCATTGTCAGTGGAGGCTAACATGGGTATATGAGTGGATAGATGGGTGGACAGGCTGAACTATTAGATGTGTCTATGAAGTGGGGAATGTATCCAAGAACATGTATAGGGTTGGCAGACAATGGTCCTATAAGTTTATGTGAATGATCAGAATTCCCAGGTGAATAGTAGAGCTGACAAGCGGCAAGGTAGTAGTCACTGCTTGGTCACAGCCAGCTACCCAGAGGGACTGAGTAGGTGAACTACTGTGGGCTTGGGACCATAGTCACAGGGGACATCAAGCTCAATTGGCATAACATACTATATAAAACATTGTTCCACCTCCTACTTTGGCGAATAGCAACTGGGCTCTTGAAAGCTAGCAAGCTGCCATCTAGATGCAGCAATAAGTCTCTTCTCATTCAGAGCAAAGAAGAATGAAGAAAACCAAAAATTCGTGGAAACAATTAGTCCTAGCGACTGGTACACCATCTGATCTGCAGCCTATATGACTGTGAGACCAAAAGAACTAGATGGTGCCCGACTACCACTGTCATCCACTTGGAAGGGGATCCATGTAGGAGATCCTTGGTAGAGAGGGAGAACAATGTGGAACAAAACTCAAAATCATTTGGAGAAAAAAAGGGGGGGGCAGGTTTGCTGGTCCAGTACAACCTGGTGGAACCACTGAGACTATGGCCCCTAGCAGCCCTTCAGGTCTGGAATTGAACCCATACCTGTCTGTGGCTTCCAGCCAAACAAAAGACAAGTACATGAGTAGAATATTTACCTGAGGTAGATACACTCCTTGGAGAGACCAACCATGGGAGAAAGAAGGGTTGCTTATGCACAGGGAGACAGCTCAGGGGGCAGGAGTGCATGGAGGGATGGACATAGGGAAGAGGTAACTATTGGGAGGAAGTGGGAGGGGAGCTGTTGCATTG